TTTTTTGTTTTGAATTTATAAATATAAAAATACATTTTTTAATAAGGTTCGTGCACGTCTTATTCGACGAGAACATCGAATTAATAAATGGAATATACTTGAAACACGTTTTGGTGCAACAGTAACAACATTACAACAAGAAATACCATCGATTCAATCAATGAGACGTATTCGTTTACTGAAAATTATGGAACGTTTTAATGGTGATGTTGAACAAGTTCGAAAATTTCTACAAGCTTTTGAAGAACGACATCATGAACATGATGAAAATTCAAATGCGTCTCGACATGAAAAACGAGAAGAATTAAAAGCAAAATATGCTACTCAATTAGCTGAATTGAGTACAAATGGTATTAATATTAATTGTCCATGTGTACTTCGACAATTGGAGAAAAATCAAGGCGATGTTACTAAGGTAGAATATTTCTTTTTTTCTTGAACAATATAACGATTCATAATCGACTATTTTAATATAATAATAGGTTATGGAACAAATGTCACGCCGTAAAGCAAAAAAAGAAAAATTCGAAGAACTTAATGTAAAATATGCAAATCAAATTACACAACTTGAAACTGACGGTATAATAATTAAAAATAAAAAGTTTCTATTACGTTTATTAGAAAAAACTGATGGACAAGTTGATGTTGTTAAACAACTTTTTAATGAAAGAAAAGGATACCGAGGTAAACATCGAAATGAAACACAAGATACAGTAATACAAGAAACTGATGAAACAGGATCAACATTAAGAAAACGATGTAAATTCAGTGATGATGATATTAATAATCTTAAACAACTTCGTTTAGCTGGTATACATGGAAATCCAATGAGAATATTATCAATCTTTCATGAATGTAATGAATCAATTGAAATGACAGTTGCTCGAATTCAAGAAGAACGAAAACAACATCATCAATTTCGAGATGATGAACAAAAATTTGAAAATGCTTATATAACAATAAATAATCGTGATGATTGGCCACATGATATCGAACAAGTTTATTTAGATGGAAATAATATGATGTTTGTTGTTGATTCTCTTCGTCGTTTATGTTTAAATCGTGCTGGTAAAAAAACAGAACGTGCTTTAGGAGAACTAGTTTCTGCATGGAATGAACAAATGCATATACCATATGTTGAACTTATTTTTGATTCAACACATCAATTAGATCAAATTGGTACAATTAAAATTTCAAGTGCTCAACCAAAATATCGAACAACTGATGATATGTTAGTTGAAATAGCACGACAACCTGAAAATCATGAAAAAAATAAACGTACAATTATTGTAACATCTGATCGAGGTTTAGCTGCACTTGTAAGTTTATAATATGATTTTTGATTTTATTTTTCCTCCTATTATTATAGTTACAACGTGAAGGATGTTTAATTGTCAAGTCATATAGTTGGTTTGCACATTGTGTTATGACTTTGACACCAGATTTAATTAATAATGAAGGATTAACTGACATGATGACAACAACATCAACAACAATGAAAACTCGTTATAATCTTGATGAACTTGTTCGTCGTATTGTTAATATTGACATATAAACTTTCACATTCGAAATATTATTTTAATTAAGAATAATTTTATCTTTTTCTTTTTTTCGTTTTTAATTATATATTCAAAATAAAATTTCAAATAAAAAACTGTCAAGATTTTTTTGTTTTCAAAATCGATATAAAATACATTCATTTAAATTTGATGAATATATATTATTGTAAAAAAAAAAGAAGATGCTTTATTACATATGTCTCCAATGGAAAGAATGTAAATGTAATTCTTCATACAATTTTTTTTTTCTTTTTTCTTATTCATATTATTTTATTCGAAATATTCGAGCGATACCAGTGATCATTCAAATAGATACGATGTACAAAACTATTGAGTTATAGTTATTTGATTCAATCGGACAACTCACTTCTTTTTACCTTTCATCTATGTAATTGTTTCATTTTATATTCTTCTAGTTCTCATTAAGATGATAACGAAAAATAACACAAGTTGAATATCGAACATCGATATGTAAGCATTCATTATACGATTATACTGGATGTCCCAAAGTCATGATCATTTAAGATTTGCGTATAAGTTCATTATTAACCAAACTTAGTCTAATAATTTTTTTTTGTATTTGGAAGAGAAGATCAGTAGGTTTTATTTCATAAAGACGAAGTTCATAAATACTTCAGACACCGACATCTATCCTGTAAGACATTCAACAGGTTTCGAAATACCTTATGAAATTATGAAAATTCATCGAGCTTGTCTTTACTTTTTAAGTTTCAGAGGAGAACAGATGAATTATTACAATGCATTGACTCACTTAGTCATGCGATATGATGACGTGGTAATATACGTCTTTGATGAAAACACTCAGTCAACTATATTTTTTCTAAATTACATTGAAGATAGGTCTTCAAATTTCGTTTCATTTTATCAATTAAGTATCAAAATTATATGATACAGTCAGCGGCGTAACCAGGATTTTTAGACCAATGGGCAAACTTCTCTTGTGTCGAAAAAAACAAATGGACGAAATGGGCAAGGTTTTTATTGATAGGCCAAAACTTTTTTCACCCAACAAAGTACTAATAACATAAAAAAACACATGCATAAGTTAGTATTGAGGATTTTTCAAATATGTATCTGTACAACACACATAGACATATTCTCTACGAACTACATCATTTCACATATTGGTTTTTTTCCTTTATATTTCTACATATACGTCATTGGATTTCTTCTTTCTCTTCTATACGTCACTCTATATGTATATATATGTTCGTGTGTGTTCTCTTATTTCTCTTCTTTTTGATCTATCCTTCTCTACGTTTACGTGGATAGTGTTTTCCCAATAAAATCGAACTCACGTTCACCCAAACTTACAGTTAAAATCAGGCTTGCTAGATCTTCGGAAAAGCCAGGAAAATTTCTGAAATTTGAACATTTTCCCGATTTTTTTTCTGATTTGTTGCCGAATTCCAGACGTTTTTAGATGGCGGCTGTACTAGTGGAATTAATTACGAGTGTAACCCATTAATATTATAGATTCGTATTCCGCTACCTTCTTTCCTTTCTTAATCTCTTGTAGTTTCTGAGTTCTGCAGACACTGCCACGTGCTTTAATATATCAATAAGTTGTTGCGTTGCTGAACTGAAGAGTGAATGCTAATTATTTTTTTGTTTGAATGATTTTGTAAACATATTTTAGCTCAAAAACATTTATTGAAGGAATTTTGAACGAATGAAAACTTGAAAAACAATATAGAAGTTATGTTCTATAACTTTTATTATTTTTCATAAGATTTTTTGATCTGCATTGTTTATATATATGATTTTTTTGTGAATATATTTCGTAAACAGAGTTTTGGTTTTTGTAAAAGAATCTGACACTAGGTGTCTTTTCCTGACTTTTTTTTTTATTAACTAACAATTGAAGACCATGCTACAGCAAATTAAGGAGATTCATCATAGTCGCATCAAATGAATGCTCTCACATACGGAACAACTAGTTTAAAACATGAACTGCCAATAGTGTACACAGACAGAATTGTTTAAATTTTAAAATATTTACAGTTTGTCATGTGCCCACAGTACGAAATTTCATCAACCTTTAGTTTTCTTTTTTCATCATGGTTCGATGGAACACGACTATTTATCTAGGAAGAAGCAATATTACACATATTCAACAGCAATTTGACAGCAATTAAAATTTTTTGTTTATTACCCTTATAATTAAAAAAAATTTGTCTTAGACTTCGTTGAATTTCTCTTTAATATGCATGATATTGTTTTTTCTTATGTAAATGGTCGTGCTCCATCCAACCATGACGAAAAAAGAAAACTAAACGTAGACGAAATTTAGTAGTGAGGGTACATAACAAACTGTAAACTTCTTCTTGGTGTGTGTACGTTACTGGCAGCTCATATTTGTAATTAGTCGGTTTGATAATGAGAGTCTTCATTTGATCCAACTATGATCAATCTCCTTAGCTTACAGTATATGATCTTTTACTCTAAGCTATATAATGGTTGTGTTGTTTTTCTTTACTATGAAATGCTCTTAAAAATAAAGTATGAGCCGATAAACAAAAAAAATGTGAAGCCTTTTGTGCAAGTATGTCAACATGATAGCCCTTGGTTTGCAAAAAGTTACTCTTTATGATTAGTTTCCAATTTCAGAAAAAATTTCTGATTTTTTTCTGATTTTTAAGTTTTTCATCTAGCAACTCTGATGAAAATACCAGAAGCGAGTCTTTTCTTCATTCTTTACAGAAAGAACAAGCAAAAATGCATATGTAATTCAGACGGAAGAAAAGAAAACGAGTTATTATCTAATTCAAAAATAAATAAACAATTCTGAAAAAGTGAAATTTCAATGGGCAAAACTTACTCATAAAAATTATAATGGGCAAATCTCCAAATGAAATGGGCAATTGCCAATTTGCCCCTCCCTTGACTACGTCACTGGATACAGTAAAAACTTCGTTGATACAATCCTGAATGTATTCTAATTCTTCGCAAACGAGAGAGTTCAAGAAAAATATTTGTTCAGAAGATCTGCTTTATGATCGCAAAGAAATGGCATGATTGTTTGTAGTTGAACATTCAATGAAATAGTTTTATTTTGTTAGCTGGGCGAGTCTTGCATTTAGGTTTATCTTTTTGGTTACCTAAATCAATATTTAAATGTGAATATCAATTCAAAACAAGAACACATTGCTTTTGTATGATTAGAACTTTATCAGCTACTTCAAACCAAATAAATATTTATCAAACGCCGATACAGAATTAATACGCAGCCATTTACTTTTTTTAAAATATATTTATCGCGTATTTCTTTTCTTTCTCTTCCTATTTAAATATCACCACATACTTCGCGTCAATAAAAGTGCTTTATTTTGTATTCATATTATTTTCTTGTTACGAAAAAAGCGGCAATGTAAGACAAAAAGTCCTATAAAAGAGTTTATTATATACAGCATTTTCAAAAAATCCTTGTTCAATCATAAAGATAATAAATACTTAGATCCATACAATAAATTCTCTTAGGTGATTTATTATACTCGAATTTTTGTAAAGTAAGAAATACATTGTCATTTTAGTGGAGTAAGTTTTTAAAAAAGTTATTTATCCTTTGTAGTAACGAATATCGTTGTGAAGATAAAGCGTGTACTTTCGTAAGTGGGAAAAAAATTAAAAGATGAATAAGCGGTATACACTTGGAGATTGCCGTTATTTATAAAAATATCGCTATAAATATTAGTTTTTGTGCGTTGTGCATAATTGATTCAGATACTAAGAATGCTTTTAAAAACAAGTTATCTCTATTTCAATAATTTGTTTGTCTACGATATCAGATTTTAAATAAAACATGACATCATACCCAAATTTTGTCGACTGTTGTTGATTACAACAGACACCTATTTCCATTGGTATTCCATCGTAAATATAAGGTCTTATATAGGTATCATTCAGCTAAGATTTACGCAAGATTCTATTTCATGAATAATGATGAGTTGGAGACAAATATCTCTTATACTCCTTTTAATTTTAGATTAAAACTATTTATCATCATTTCATTATCTATTTATTTGAAGAGTACTTGAATATATGGCATCCAAGTCATCACTTGAACAACAAAAAAAACAGGCGGAAGATTTAATCACTTGTTCCATTTGCTTAGGCTATTTCGTTGATCCACGCATATTACCATGTTCACATACATATTGTCTTCAATGTATTCATCAGGCAGCTGCTAGTAGTGGCGGCCAATTCAACTGTCCATTGCGTGATGGCACTAGAATCCGTGCAAACAATATTGATTCATTACCAATCAATAGAAATTTGCGTGATATGGTCGATCTTCTACCAGGTCTTATCAGTATAAACGACCAAAACAGAGAACAATGTAAGTAGAGATTTCGTCAAAATTTAATATAAACTTCTTAAATAACTATGCAATCTGATGAATAGTATAAGTCTTCAGATCAGTTAATCCATAGAAGATGGGTAGATTACTTTCTATAATCGTAACAATGCTGAAATCAGTTCAAAACTTTTAATAGTCTGTAAAAAAAAGTCTTTGAACAGGATCAATAACTAGTAAAGTACAACTTGTTAATAGTAAGTCAAAGGTAAAAAGAATTCAGCACCCTATGGTATGGAGAAGAATGAAAAAACAACTGTTGTTACTATTTAGCTAAACTGTCATAAATCCTTTTCATTTCATCCATCTCTGTGATAAATTATACGACTAACTATTCCCTAACTTTGACGATTGCCTAAAATTTGAGATTTTCGTCAAATCTGAATGTAACAAAAATAAGAGAATTAACGAAAATAAAGCCTGCTTACTTGAATGGACGCCATAGCATAGAAACTTTGGCAGATTGAGAATGTGTCCTTCGTTAAAATTAAGGAATTTTTAATATATGATATTTCTCAATGATATTGTGACTGATATTACAACATATTTCTGTGCGCATATTGAGTTAAGTAGATAGATGCATTGTTAAAAACCTATCTGCATAATCACACATACAAATCATGTGTCCCAAAGTGCTATGAAAACAAAACTCATTCGAAAGACTCACATATAGATTGCTATAGAAAGAATGTCGTACTCAAGAGAAACAAACGTGCGTTTCTCTATGTTTCTGCTTGCCTTCATATATCCATACGAGTCTCCTGTGATTTCAATGATAATATCACCGAATTTTGTCATAGACTCATATCCCCAGTGAGAGTTTTAAACATCTCGTACTAATTTTATGTCTTTCAGAGTGTAGAGAGTCATAATCAAGAAAGCGATGACATGCAAACAGAGAAATCTTTAAGGTACAAATAAATATTGATTATATTGGAATAAGATATAGAATTTCGTCCTCAGGCATTGTCTTTGCAAGATTTAACTAGAGTATATATACATATAGTAGTCACATTAATTGATGGAGTACAACTTTTGTTTTGTATTGTAAAAATAACCGTCAGTATACTACTTGCATCCACCTCCTCTTGTTTTGAAATTTTTTTTTTTGAAAACGGTCTGAACGATGATTATTTCGGGCGACGGATAAATCCTCGTCAAGAAAAAGAGAAGTACCAATAATCAACATGTAGTTTATATATTCGACGAATAATTCTAGGTAATGAACGACAAACTTCGAGGATTTCCAATAATGCGATGCCATCAGTACCATCTACTGATACTGTAACATTGAAAACCGATTCGGGAACAAAATCTTTATCAATATCTAATTTACTTTCAAGTACGACGTTAGAATTAGACACCGAAAAGTTATCTCGTGCGGACATAGAAAAAATCATTATTGCATTAAAGAAAAACAAATACGTGAAACAATTAACTATCACATCTCACTGTCACTCTATTGCTCCAATTCTCGCTGAAACTCTTAGAGTCAATAACACGCTGACTCATCTCACTATGTCCTACGATATTCAAGATGATAGTTGTATTTTGATCAGTAATGCATTGTTCACTAATCACAGTCTACGTTGCTTAAATCTACGACGAAACAAAATTACAAGTGAAGGATGTAAAGCTATTGCGGAAATGTTAAAATCAAATAGAACATTAGAAGATTTGAATATTTGTCGAAACAAGCTTGGCGATGAAGGAATTAGCTCCATTTGCGAAGCTTTACTGGTGAATAAAACATTATCTTGTCTCGATATTTATCAAACAAAGATGTCTACCCGGGGGTTGACATCAGTTGTACAAATGTTACGAAGAAATCGAACTTTGACATGGCTTGATATCGGTGATAATAATATTGATGATGATGGAATCATACGCATTGCAGATGCATTGAAACAAAATAACACGTTGACCGAACTATGTGCCAAGTTTAATAAAATCAGTGAAATAGGTGCATCAGCATTGACAGATGCTTTAAAAACGAATCGAACTTTGACGACCATAAAACTGCATTTCAACAAGATACCAGACGAAGTGGCAGCAGAAATACACAAAAAAACTCCACAATTGAAAACAACTGGACTTGGCGTTTGCTCTATTTCTTAATTTTGTAAATCTAGGACCAACAACTATACTATTTGATAATAAACAGCCTTTGACTTTAAATACGAAAAAAATTCGATTAACTGAAGATATGAAGTGCGAGTGTGAATAGGGATGTGAGGGTTGCTTTGGGTAAAGAGAAGAATCACACCCACACCCTGTTGTGAAGGTCTTGCCAACTACTAGCATCATGTAATTGTGATAATATTTAAGTTTTACCAAATCTTAAAATAGGAAGTCCAATATAAAAAATCGTGCATTATTTTAGCTCACATTATCTTTCTGTAAGCAATAGTGTCCTTTTACGAATTAAATTGAAAAAAGTCAGTCAAACCATAGTAAAGCCCTTGGTACATTAGAAGATCCCAGGATCTTCTAATATTTTGTCTTATCGTTCACAAGTTGCAAGGAGGTCTTCTATTATGTCTCTAAAAAAGTCATATTTTATTTGCTACCTTCAAAGATATAATTTTTTGTAAAAGTCTTTTTATGCTTGTTATATTGTTACTAAATGTTTATTTCATTTTTCTGCACTAGCACAGTTAGCAAAAAATGACCTATATTCTTTTACTAAAGAATATTTCACAAAACGAGTATCTTAATCATAAAAGGTACTAAACCATACAAAATACAATTAATCTACACTACATAGTAGGAACATTTTTCACAAGATAAAAGAACTCACTCATAAAATATTGCTATTTTATAGGATCAAATAGACAAAAAAAATAAGTTTTGAGTTTTTTGGTATGTCCTTCGAGATTAGCCGTTTGTATTGAATTTCGGTTATTTAACGTGTAATTTGTTCATCTCTTTCTGAGTCAGATTCTTGATCAGTGTGATCATGATCGATATTTAATGACAGCAGATAAGAATTTGAGCTTAGATCATAATCCATAAGAGATGTTCGATATTTGTTCAGTTATGAAAACAATCAGACAGTTGGCTGTTAGTGGGAAAAGAGAAGAATGTAAACGAAAAATAATTAAATTTGTTTATAACAGACATTGTTTTTCACATGTTATATGCATACGTCTGTTAATTACATTTTATATTATTCAAATATAGACTGCCTTGAACGTCAGAAAGAGCGGAAAAATATTTTTGAAACGAAGATTAGAAATACACATATAGAAACGAAAAGTAGAAACATGATAGTAAAACTAAAAAATCAACTATTAGAAGGAGGATTTCTAATCTGTCTTTTGCATCGTTTATGCAAGAAGGGTCTTCTGATGTATCGATGGTTTTATAGATGTTGTTCAATCTTAGTTACTATGAGTTATTATATGGAACGTTTTGAAACCAATCGTTGCTGATTCTTCATGTTAGCACATATGAAAAACTATGAACTAAAATAGAAATTGTTACTATTAGAAACTTCAAGGATTATATGAGTTTTATATTGTATGTCTTTGTAGAACTGAAGTAATGAACTGTTGCTCGAAAGAACTGATTGCTTAATTGATATTTTAAGTGCACCGATTTTTGTTTTTGTCGGTGAAGTCAACAATTTCAACTAGTTCCAAGTATGATTCAAGCATTAATAATCACAAACTGTTTAAGTATACCAAGATTTTTCAGTTTACATCAACACTGTCGAAAAATAGAATTTTAAGGCATCGCCTTTTTATATCTCATTGTATAATTATAAACTCAATGACTGTTGTTTTTCAGTGAACGATCTCATTTGCGCATTGCATTTTATTCAGCAAAATTTTGGAAAAAAAAACGAAACTTTGTCATTGACAATGGATCCATCAGTAGCACCATAGGAAGCAGATATGTTTCTGAAGCATGACTATCAACACTTCATATTGACAGCAGAAAAAATATAGTTTCTTCTTGAAAAGTCAGACCATCTTTGCATCATGAAAGATTCAAAAGAATTGTTGAAAAACTATTTTAAGGAATAAAGATGATGACAATCACATTTTCTTTATTCAAAATCAACGAGTAAAATAAGATGCCATTCGATACACCATTGACTCGGTCTATCTTTTTTGAAATTCTATTGGCTTTGATGATTCCTTCAATCATTTTTTCTCTTTTCATCTTGTATCATTTTGCTCGATCTCGAGAACTTCTTAAACGACTTAACAATCATGTTATTCTTGCTTTGCTATCCATCAATTTGATCCAGGTGAGTCATGAATAGTTGATGTTAAAGAAAATATTATTTCTTTTTTGTTTTTTTGAAGATGACCACAGAAATGTCGTTGACGTGGATTGTATTGCATACAGGACATGTGGCTGTACAATCACGCCTGTTTTGTCTCTTTTGGCCTGTGTACAACTATGCACTGTTCGTCATCGGTCTCATGTTTATGGCTTTTAGACGTACCGAGCGATACTTTCTTGTCTTCTATAGAATCTTTTTCAAAAAACATCTGATTTTACTTCACTATGGGCCATTGATCTTCTTGTTGATCTATCCACCTCTGTTGTACTTCGGACTGATCGTCGTTTATCCGTGTGAAACCAACTTCAGTTACACGCAATATGTCTGTGGTGGTGCGCGTTATCAATACGAGGTACGTTTCATCAAACGCATCAAAAGTGCTTGGCAAGATTCTTAAAGGTATTTCTGGTTTGTTCTTGAAGGGCACTCCGAAGATCTCATGAATGTAGTGTAACTTCTACTATCAAAAAAACAAAAAATCGTCGCTCCCTATAATTTCATGACAAGAGAGAGAAGTATGCCGAGTCAAGGATAACTTCTTAACATATAGACTACTTCTTTTATCGGTACAAGCATCCTTTTTCTACATAGTGTGATAGTGCTAGATATTAAAGAGTTCTCATGATCCCCATGCTCGCTGAAGTTATACAAATCCAACTTCTGTTCTAAATAAACAAAAAAGAAAAATGCCACAATCTAATTATTTTTTCTTGACAGTTTGTTCTAGGCTTATATGATTGGCTTTCCAACGTCTGCGCTCCTGTTATTGTCGGTACTGTTGCAACAATGGCACTCATTGTTCGGGTTTTTCTCCAAAAACGTCGAGCAGGCCAGCGAGAGTTTTGGCGACGCAATTGTAAAATGGTTGTTCAACTAGCATCCATCTCTATCATGTACATCATTATTTGGGTTCCCAATATTGTATGCTTTGTAGTTCCACTGATTGTTCGAAACCCGCTTGCCTTTGAGCTAGCTGTTACTGTTTTCATCTACGCTCAGTACACGTCTTGTCTTCTGTGTCCATTCATGTGTCTTATTGGATTGCCTGAAGTACGTAAGTCTATCAAGCAAGTATTTACTCGATCGAATACTGTGCAACCACCGGCTCAAAATCCTACAATATTTGTCACAGTGTTATCAAAGCATCAATAGAAAGCAAATGTATGATATTTCACCCCTCTAATTTGTGCCAAAAAGAACATATTATCGTCTTATTAATAAAAACACAAATAAAAAGAGTTCCATAGAAGAATCCTCGAATCTTTCTTTTCTTGAACGCTCTAGAAACAAATGCTCGTGGGAAATGAAATGATGATCATTCGACATTCTAGTGCAACAATTCAATTGAAGAAATCTCTCCGAGTGAAAATGAGTCTATCGAGTGTGGATGAAGAGAAAACCCACATGCACTCCAACTCCATGCTCACACCCTCAAGATGAAAATCGTTCACTACAATCAATCAATATAATTCGTTAATCTGTTCTAATTCGATTGATCTGTTTACGTTTTAATTAAAAAAAACACTTTTCAGATATTAAAAATGAATTGAATATTTTTTTAAATATAAAAAATGAAGAAATCTTGAATTGATTCTCTTCAAAAATAATTAATTGAAATATTTTCTCTCTTGTTAATATAATAAAATCAAAATTAAAGCTGCAGTGTGGGTCAAAACTCTGATGTCACTTTTTTATTTTGAGTCGTGTATTAAAACTACACTATATTAATTTAATTTGTCTATATGTCTTTATAGAAAAGGTCGAGTTCTATCTATATATATAGTTTGATACGAAAAGCTCTTGAATATAAAATACAATAACAACAAACAAACTTCAATGCTAAGAAAAAATGGCATAAAAAACTACAAAGTGATAATTTTGCAATAGAAATTATTTATATAGATTTTATAGAGCTTTCGATGACGCATCTTTTGAAAAAAAATTAAGGTGCTATCACTTTTTTAAGCCGTGATACATGCAAAGATCATTTCAATCTTTTCGTGAACGCATTATGCGACTATTTGTATGCTTTTTTTGTTTATAATTATTCAACAGTAGGAAAGACAAATTTTACACTGTCACTCCTAACGTATTGCTGTGGCTGTGGACGGGTTAGGATGAAGAAGAAATATTCACTCTCGTCCACCCACCCTCACCCCTCACCCTCATCCAACTACCCATCCTAGATGCCATGGAGAGCATCTAGCCATAAATTGATCGTACGGACCAAACTACAAGCTCATGAAGGTAATATGTGCAAAATCTCTATTTAATGAACACTTTTCAATCCTAAATGATTTGGAAAGCTCTTGACTTTGAAAAAAATGATTAAAATGAAATATAGATATTTGATTACTGTTATAGTAAGATTTTCTCAAATATTTATTATGTTGATTGATTAGACGAAAGTTTTTTATTTTCACATGCACACACACTAAGAAAAAATTCTTAAATACGAGTACAGGAGATGGTGCAATGTAATCTTTAGTGTTCAGTTCATGTGCATTTAGTGAGAAAGTATTGAAAGTCAGAGGACTTTAGTTCAATGAATAATAAGTATTAGGTTCATAAATGAAATCGCTGAACCCGATGATTCCCGTAGTCAGCCACGTATATAAAGGTTTCTGTAGGATCGAGAGCGACATCACCAGGAGTGTTAAGAAGTAGAGATGTGCTACCCATTACGCCTGTAACACCAGCGACGATGGAACCTTGAAGCGCATTAACACTCCATTTCATGACTCTATGATTGCCCTGATCACCCACATAGACCGATCGATCCTTGCCAGATACCCAAATTCCCGCTGGAGTTTTCAGCTGATTCAGACCTGAACCGGTTCCATTACCACCAGCTACCGTGGTGCCTGTCTTGCTAGTACCTAAGAGGAATTGCTGTACGCGGTTGTTGTAATAATCAACAACGTAGAGTGTCGAGTGAACATCATCGAGAAAGATAAACTTTGGACCATTCAGCAATTGACTGCTACTACCTGCCGTATTTAGTTGTCCGGCCACTACAATACCTATAGTTGCATTCGGTGCCCATTTCGTGACTACATGACAATAGAAATCAGATATATAAATATTGCCATAGCTATCAACAGCTACACCATAAGGCGCATAAATTGTCGACAGAGTACATGGATATGATACAGAGATTGGAAGAGCAGTATTTGATGGTGAAACAAACACCTGACTAGTAGTAATAGCGACAGTGTAAACGTACCCCATACTATCGACAACTACATCTTCAACATTCCCACTTATCACCGCGATCGTTATACCAGAGCGAGAAAACGATGAATAAGCTTGTACTCGACCGGTACCATAATCGGTCACATAGAGTGTATTGTTCGATGTGATATAGAGACCCCATGGACTCGACAAACCTTGAGCTCCACCACCAATTGTTGCATTGCAAAAACCAGCAATCGTCACACCACCACCTATAGAACAGCATGTATGAATAGTTGAAAATGATTTTGAGTGAACGATCGAAAAAACTTAGTGTCAGTGCAAGTGTTTGTTGATTGAATAAATCGAAAACGCGATAACCTATTGTTATCAAGTTTGTGCCATTCTGTAATCGAGAGTAACGCACATAATCAAACATGGAAATCAGAACTTTTGGATTGAATCTCTATGAGTTTCTTTGATGGATCTTTAGAAAACCATCTATCCAGTCAGTGCAGTTGTCATGAATGTTATTTTTTATTACGACAAGTATATTCAAAACGGAAACTCGTGTCTACAAATCTACGCGATGCTCAGATGTGTCCGATCTTATGTTCCAAAATTTACAACAACTTCAGTTTCTATGACTGATAACATCAAACTGCAAAGATCCACCAAGAAATTTCAACACAAAATTACTCATCTACATCTAATCACGTTCTCACCAGAGCTGCCACCAGAGCGACCTACCAGGCCAGGCTGAATTTTGAAATTCTAATCTGGCCTGATCCGTTCATATTATATTGAAGTAGACTAACAGATTAGATTAGACAAACATTATTGACTGGATTCAAGCGTTTTTTTGTGTGAGAAATCCTTGCATACAGCAACAAATTAATGCAAAAAGATATATTATCATAAATATTTCTCACACAGAAAAGGGTTGAACCAGGACAATAATTTTGGCCTGATCTAGTCTGTTAGTCTACTTTCAATATAATATGAACGGATCAGGCCAGCCTGGTGGCAGCTCTGGTTACCACCGCTCCAAAAGTAAACAATCATATAACACATTAGATCGTCTCTTTTCCTCTATTCCCGGATTAAACATGAATAATTCTGCTTCTGTTTGGTAGTTGATCAATGGGCTCAACGATTCTCTCCTCTCTTTTCGATGTCCCACTATGGTTTAAATGATGATCTACGTGCAAGTGCTGCTACACATTTTCTCACTCACTTGTTTTACTCAAGCATTGGTAGATTGAGTTGCATCCAGTATCTCTGCACTCAAGATTCCGATCTGACCGGCAACCATCCGGTGCTGCACATGATTGATTCATGTAGCGTTGTGGTAAACACATGCTTCCATTCCAAAATGTCATTGAAGGACATTGACAAGTCGATAAGATTGGATCACATACTTCATAGCGACTCTGAGCACATTTGTTACATGGCTGATTGTGAGTAGAAGCATAGGTATGCGGTGTCAGTTGAATGATACCCACCTTCGATCGAGGTTTCGATGGTCCAGCGAGAGAAATCGTACCTGTTGTCAAATCGTCTGACCATAACCGACATTGACCTGTGTCCTGATCGAAATCAAATGTTCGACAGGCGACTCGTTTATTACATTCCGAATGACAAAGAAGAATTGTGCCTTGAGTAAGACTAAGAAATGGACTAACTGTACTATCGATTGGCACAAACGTATAGCCAAAATCACTCAAAGTAGCGATTGATCGATCTTGATAAGTATGATGCATGAAGGATAAACCAAGCAAGAAGAGAAAGAAAGTCAGCATTGGTTGAAGTTCCTCTGCTCGTTGAAAATGAATGTAATGAAATACGATAGACTGTGTTTCTAGCGTAAGAGAAAAAGAAAATAATTATAAGGCAGCGGAAATTCAAAACTTGAGCAAATTTTTTTTTCTTTGACTTTTATATGTTTGAATAGAGCTCATAAAACTGCATAAGAAAATATATTTTAAAAATTTTTTCGAAACTCTTAGACAAAAGAAAAAAAATTGAAAAGACAAGGCATCCTTATCTTATAAGATATCGGTCTCGTTCTGAGAAAAAAGGGTCTAGTGTTTGAAATCCTGTTCTAACAACTTTCAAACTTTTTTTATTATTCAACATGGAAAGCTGAGTATTGAAATTAAACTTAAGTTTAATTTCAATACTCAGCTTTCCATGTTGAATAATAAAAAAAGTTTGAAAGTTGTTAGAACAGGATTTCAAACACTAGACCCTTTTTTCTCAGAACGAGACCGATATCTTATAAGATAAGGATGCCTTGTCTTTTCAATTTTTTTTCTTTTGTCTAAGAGTTTCGAAAAAATTTTTAAAATATATTTTCTTATGCAGTTTTATGAGCTCTATTCAAACATATAAAAGTCAAAGAAAAAAAAATTTGCTCAAATTTTCAATTTCCGCTACCTTACTTCAAGTGTTTGGTAGCAATTTTTCTAGTGTATCCTGTTATTCTTTGTTTATGAGCTAATTAGAATTTAAAGATTCAACGGAAAGAAATTATTAGACGACACTATAAAACTAGTTAACTAACACTTGCAGGATGTGTACCAACAATACACATCTATTCAGTCTACCTGTATTCCAATTTGGAAATGGCTTAGATTCGTATGGATTCGAAATCAATCGAGAATTCACAGTATTGAAATAGAATGTAAATTATGCTGTAAAAGAAAAGTGTACAATAATAAACCCTTAGACGGTTTATGAAAGTGGTGCAACGTAGAATAAACCCTTTTATAAGAGTTTATGAAAGGGCATTTGGAGCTCATAAACTCTTAAAGAGTTTGCTGGGTGTGGGTCTGAGTGTTGGTGCGGGTCTAGGCATGGTTGTAGGTGGAAAAAAGAATCACATCCATGCCCTTCTAAGAGTTTCTTGGGAAACGGATTTTTTTAGAGAGTGCTAGGAAAATAAAAATATTTGGTAGAGAAAAACCCTTCGTAATCGATCGTCGGAACGATTTTTCGTTTTTAATAGGGTATTAGTTTCTCTGTAATCGGTATTCGAAGCTTTGCACCACATTTCGAAGTCGAGTGAAACTCGAATGTCGTCTAGTTTGTTTTTATGCCTATCTGTAACATCTTCTTTTTACTAATCGATCATTTTTATATTATTTGCAGAGAAAAAGCGAAGATAGCACCCGATGGCTTGAAGGAGCTCAGACAACAGCTGGCATACAAGCCAAGTCATAACGGATCGCAAGCTGCATATCAATCCGGACAGAGGAGACGGAGTTTAAATGTCGCTAGCGTGCTTCTGGTCGGCTTAACTGGTGCTGGCAAGTCTTCCGCAGTACGTTATGCATAAATCATTTCATATTTTATTAGTCTCTTACTCTGCAATTGAAAAAATCCTAGTGTTGTACAATACTTCTCTTGGATCAAGAATCGACTCATGTAAATAGGAATGATTGTGCTGATCTTTATATTATACTGTAGAGTAGGGATAAATTTTAATTTGATAAAAATGTAAATAGAAAAGGCCCATGCATTTCAGAGGTTTTATGAACTGCTAAAGTACTTCAAGTTAAACGAAATATCGGCAGTTTTCTGGAAAGTGAAAATTGTTTCGATTTTCCTCAAAACTCGTTTTCAGAAAAAAAGGACACTCGATAATATTGCAAAAATTTAAAAATTGGCCTCATATAGAAAATCATTTGAACAATGATTGCAACAGGATCATTGTTCATCGGCATACAACTTAGTCAACCGTCAGTATTTAGCATTCATTTTCTTCATCGGCGACTGCAGTAAGTATTGACCATATATTCTCTAGTTACCGCGTGTGCCGGTGCATCTTATTAGAACAGAGAAAAACAATTGCTGCTCACACGAAATATAAGAAATAACTACATTCTTTTCAAGCAAACCTAATCGTTGTTTTTTCCTTTTCTCAGGTGACTCATATGTAATCATAAATATATTTTTTTTTGTGTTTGAAAGCAAAGTAGTAATTTTTAAGCAATTTTTGTTTTTTTGAAAGAATATTTCTTGCTTCTTGTACTGATATAGATTTTTTATCACGTTCTGCTGTTCAAACTAACTTTCAAATGAAAGTCTTTGTCGATAGTTTATATACTTTTTAAAACTATTTGTACCATAGAATGCCTTAGATAGTGTCTTTCTCTTTTTTAATTGATATGTAAGGTCTGACTTATAAACATTGTCCAAACCGTGACCAATTTGTCACTGATAGAAACAAACGTTGCTTTAAAGTTGTAAACCAGTATCAAATGTGATATTTTCTCAAAAACGTTTGGAGTGTGGAAGTGAACACGATTTTCAAGGAAAGTCCATACGAATTTGATGGTAAATTTCTAGTTAAAAACTCCTAAATTAGAATTTCTCTTCTTTTGAATAGCATAACAGGATAATGATTCTGGCGCTCGGTTTTAGTGGCTTCCCAATAGTAATTGACTTGTGTGCGTTCATTTGGGACATTTTCAACGAAGAAAAATTCGTTAAAGAACTCATAAGGATTTTTCTAGAATATGCTTTCCATTCTTTATAACGTATTTCATAATTTTCAGTATCGATATTTACTATATATATACAGGGTGAATCAGACATTATGAATATATCAAAAGACATTTTACAAGAATGTATGCATTCATCACTCACAAGAAACTTTATTTCATTACAATAGAAAGTGAAACTAGGCAATGGCATTAAACTCTAATTACAAATTAAATTAACAAGTTCACACTGAAAAATGTGAGACTTTTTTTGCAAGTAATTTGATTAACAATTTCTTGCGCTACATATTCGAGACAGATTGATTTTTTTCTTTATTTACGAAGCATTCTAAAATGAGTTTAAACCAATGGAAAAAGGGAAAATTTCGTACTTCAGCGTACTCCAAGGGTATGTCAAAACTATCTTTTTTATATTGAGTCTACTATCAATGTATGTCACGAGCAAATCAATTTCAGTTCATCTTGTATAAATCTTTCTGACAATAAAGGTCAAAAATCTCATCGTATATTCAATGATACTTATATCTTGAAGTACAATGAAATATTTGAACTTGATTGTCAGAAAGATTTATATAAAATGAACTGAAACTCATATGTTCGTGACATACATTGATAGTAGACTCAATATAGAAAAGAAGTTCTCGAGAATAGTTTTGACATAACCTTGGAGTACGGTACGGTACGAAATTTTCGCTTTTTTTCTCCTTGGCTTAAACACATTTTAAGGATTGATATTCTTCGTCAGCCTGCATTTTAATTCAACATTTTTGAGATGAAGAAATAGATTTACTTTAGATAGACAATATTAAAATATGATAAATGGTTATACTCTCTCTTAGTTTTGGTTGATGAGCGACTTGATGAGTGAACAGTAAATTTACTTACAGAAGCTTACTCGAATTTTATTAACACTACAGAGTTATACCCACTAGTGTAAGAGTTGTCATAAGTAGAGAAAATATAAATAAAGAGGAGAACCATGCTGAAAAGGAAGTTTTGTTCTCAGCTCTCAAGAAAAATAATATTTTATTGTTCAAATGAAGTGGAATATTATACTAATTGATTTCTCGAGTTTTCTGTGTTATAAAATTTTTTTTTCCCATTATCATTGACGTCTGTAAAGAATGTGCTGCGTTTTGTTACAATGTTACTAATTTAAACAGTCAATATGCTTTTATGGGATAGAAACGAAAGCCAAGTCAGGGTGTGGTTTACGTATTTCCCAAAATGTTGACTGAAATGAAATTGTTCAAAATAATACATTCTCTCGCTTGCATGTCGCAATTTTTTCAACAAATAATCTTAATCTCACTAACATTCTATGAAACAAGTAAAATTAGCAGCTTGCATATTAAAGCGTTGAACTCAACTGTATCTAGTCAAAGAGGCTTCTGGATTTTCATATTTGTTTGAAAATGTGCTTATACCCAAAGAAATTCATTACAACTCCTAGGTTTCTCTAAAACGATGCGTCACTAAAGATATAATTTAGTAGTCTACCCTAGCTCAATAGCTCTCAGTAAAATTGTGTGTTTTCCCAGAAGGGTATGGGTGTGGGTGTGAATGTTGATGTGGAAGGTTTAAAAGAAAATCCACATTCACATCCACTAATACCCACACTCACACGCAACTCTAGTGTTAAGTTTTGTAGAGATATCCACGATGATTCGTATTTATTGAATTCAAATGAAGGTTGTGAAAAACAATTATCTCTTGTCCTCGTCGATATAAGTCATAATGAAAGATTTATATAATTGAATTTTTTCTGGAGTTCTGATGTTGAGCATCTTCAACGCACTTCAACGATTACATCTCGAAATAAACCGTCTCACCTCTTGAAAATTACAATACAATCCTGAGAAATAAACTCGATCAAAACCTTTGATTATTTAGAAGCTCTAACATTTAATATGAATAGTTTCTTCGTTGAACATTTTCACCATAAACCATATATCTATGATCGAAAATGGCGACTGCAAAGAAATAGACTGCATCGGGCATTTTGTCAGAAAACACTTGTAACTCGTACTTGCTGGCCAACATATAATCCGCTTTTTGATTTCGTCTGGAAACGGTCGTAAAAAACGGCTAGCTTTTTCTCAGGGACCTCTAAAATACGGCTAAATCTCCTATATAATCGTATGATATTATACCAACTTTTCACATACGTTATTTTTGACAAATATTTTTCTATATGTAATTTTCTTTATATTCGTTTTATACGTCTTGAGAGTGTGAGTGTGGGTGTGAATCTT